AACTATACCTTTTCAAGCTCAAATTGGCACTAATCAGAATCAAAATGACATTAGTCAAAATCAAATTGGCAATGTCAATTTCAAATTGGCATTAGTCAAAATCAAATTGACAATAATCAAAATTAAAATGGCATTAGTCAATATCAAATTGGCAATAAACAATATCATATTGGCATTAATCAACAAATTTAGCACTAATCAAAAGCAAATCGGCATTAAACAAAATCAAAATGACATTAGTCCATATCATATTGGCACTTATGAATTTTAAATTGACATGGAAATAAAATTATATATCAGCATTAAATAAAATGAAATGGGCAAAAACATTTTATTGACTTACAAACACAGTAGATAACAATTATATTACTTAAGAAAGTAGGTAACGTTATGTTTTAAATAACACTCTTAAAAATTTATATCTTGCATATTCAATGCAGAAGGGATAAATCGTTGGATGTGGGCAATAAACATTGCGCAATTGGCAACAGTAATCTTGTCCATATTATTATGAACGGTGTTCTCTAATTTCTGCATTCGATATTCTGTTTGAGTCAGATGATCCCGGTCAGCACCAGCCAAGATGTTATTTAGCTGTACAGCCATATCTGCTTTTACTCCTGCTTTTAATGCAGACCACGCTTGTTCAATAGGATTAAACATAGGGCTGTACGGACTTAGTCGTAAAAGTGTGTGGTGTTCAAATTCGTTTTCTGCAAAAACCTCTTCAATAGTAGAGTGGCATGGAGCATTATCAATAACTAATGCAACTCCAGTTTGGTAAAGGCCTTGCGCTCTTCTTAGGCATTGCCTCACAAATTCATTTGCTTCCGGCTTCTTGAAAGAGCCCCGACGTAGTTCGGAATGAATTAGCCCCATGTTTCCAATGCATCGTATTAGGTGAATATTCGACCCTCTGCAACCTGCAGACACTGTTGTGCAGCGAGTCCCTTTTTTTGAACGACCCTGAGTCCGCGATATGAACAAATTAAAGTTTGTCTCGTCCATGTATATGATAGGTATATTTTGTGCTTGAAGATCCGATAAATTGTCTACATAAATACTCCTGCTTGTTTTCGTTTGAATACTATTCGCGTTCTCTGGTTCTCTACGAGTAGTCTTCAAAGTAAACATCAATCCATTGAGATGCTGTCGAACGCACTCGTTGGAGACATTGAGTGCAAAATCTTCACGGATTTTTTCACTCAGTCCTTTAAGAGTAATTTTAGGATTTTCTTCGACTGAACGTTCCATGAATTGACGGTGCTCATCAGTTATTTTAGCTCTACGTTTACCTCCTCGCTGCTTTTCCGGTTGTTCTTGTTTGTTAACCCATCGATAGGCGGTTCTTTTTGGCACCTGTAGTACGTTTGCAAGATTACGGCAGTCACCATTGGCATTATACAAAGCGCAAATCTGTGTCCTCAGATTTGCAGCAGCATTTTTCTTTAAATAAGGCATCTCGTGTGAATATAATAGTTGAAATCTCGCAATAAATTACCATAAACTTGACAATAACCGATAAGTTAACAATTGTTTGACACCGATTTATACATGTATTTTTCATGCCATCTTGATATTGTTTGGTGCCAATATGATATGGACTAATGTCATTTTGATTTTGTTTAATGCCAATTTGCTTTTGATTAGTGCTAAATTTGTTGGTTAATGCCAATATGATATTGCTTATTGCCAATTTGATATTGACTAATGCCATTTTAATTTTGATTATTGTCAATTTGATTTTGACTATTGCCAATTTGAAATTAACATTGCCAATATGATTTTGACTAATGTCATTTTGATTCTGATTAGTGCCAATTTGTGCTTGAAAAGGTATAGTGATAGTGCTAGTGTAAAACTAGTAATAACACAAGATCTAGAACTAGAATCATTCGGGTTTAATCGTCTTGAGAGACGTGCGGCTAAATCTGTGTCTAAAAAAATGTGTCTAGTGTTAGTTCTAGTTTTAGTTCAAGAAAAATATGCTAAAATTTAACGTTGAATAACTAAAACAATTACTAACACTACCATTAGAACTAACACTAGACCTAGAACTAAAAACATCCGGTTTTACTTACTCTCTGAATGTTTTGAAATACAACAATATGCTCCTTGGCCATGTATGTAATACAGCATGGTCTAAAACTGGGCTACCGTTTATGCATATTCAATTATCTTTTGTAGTTTTGATGATATTTAAAAATATAGTAAAATTTTGAACAAAATATGAGAAAGTACAGCTATAGCAATTGAGGACTCATCTGAATCAACCATTGCTAGTAATGAGCAGTTTTCAATTAACACCTATTAACGACCAGCAAGCGCTTACTCATCTACAAGTTTGTTGATGTCATTTGCTAACAATGATTCGACTGCTATATCTAAAAAACGCAAAACTAATACTAAAACAAATTTGGGAAACTTTATTGTTCGAACGCATATTGATAAAAAACAAAGAATAGATAAACAAAATAAGATAACCAATGCTTTAGATACATGGACAACCCGCAAGTGAAGAAGCCAATAATATTGTTAAGACCTGGTCTCTTTTGGAACAAATTTATGAAGAAGAGAAAACTAAATGTTGTTGTGGCATAAACATATCTATTGATGGTTGATCTAACGTACGAAATGAACCTATAGTATGCACTAGCATAACCATTGAAACTGGACACTCTTTTTATATGAAACTATAGATACATCCAGAAATCAGAAATCCCCATACAAGTGACTATCATAAATTCGTGGAATACCCCGAGTCTATCTGCGAACATGGAATAGAGCAACTTGTGGAATAACCAGAGTTTGATTCTATCCAACCCATTAAATAGATAATATTAATAAATTTGAGGTTCGTTATATCGAGATTAAACTGTAAATAAATTCTTAATAAAATACCTTCTATATCAATTGAAGTATTAGGATTGTCCTTATCATCTTCTACTTTATCTTTGATAATTTCTTTAGCAATTTCAATTGGAACGCTTTCCAAGGCGGGCGTGGTTTCCCGCGAAGTCCTGCTCCGTCCCCATTTAAACCAAGAATAACGACTTTCCTGTTGTTTCTCCTCCTTTTGTTCTTTTTCTTGCGCAGATGAAGGTTGTGGCATGTGCAAATTACATAACTGATCTACAGTTGGCTATAAATCCAAATCGATTAAGCCAATTAAAAAAAATTAAGATGTAACTTACTTGTGGTAGGGGTCTTTGGTATATGACGATACTAGAAATAATAGGAGCTGCAACTTTCCACGTGTAATACTTATTACGAAGTCGCACGACTAGATTTGGGGATTCAAGTAGAGACGGATTGTTGCATAAATCGCTGAATGGAACGATGTGTTTAATAAAATTACGTTCATTTGGTTCAGGCTCCCAACCGCACATTGATAAAGCGACATCTTGGAAATATGAATTAACACTAAAAAAGTTTAATTGTTATTTCTTATTACACGATTTTTAATCTACTTACATTTTTGGATCATCAAAGTCTGAGTCAATGGATTTAGATCCTTCGACGCTATTTGGGCTTTGAGTTAAAGATGGACCATTTCCTGATTCGCAATCCATATCTCCATCTATTTTTTAACAAACACATCAGTTAATTAAAAGAAATTCTTATTCAATTTTTTGCTTGCCTTTCTTTTGTCTAGCTCCTTGGAAATACAAAGCAGCAACACTTGGATCAATAGCCCCAGAACTTAATTCGGCGAGATACATTCCTTCACTAGCACTATTTCTTTGCCTATATTTCGTTTGTTTCATAAACGAAAACATACTGCTAAGCATCGAGTTGTGTTGTTGCTCTTTATCAATTTGTTGAGTGCTTCCACTTGTTCCAGTTGATCCTTCAACATTAACTGGGAATTCACCCCAAGCCCAGCTTTGAGTTGAATCATTGTCATTTTTCCCCCCTTTGCTTTTTTGGACTTCAAATTCTGTATCTGATTGAACAGATTCGATGTGAATTGGTGTATTCGGTCTGGAATCTTCTTGCCCAGTTGTTAATTCGGTGTCGCTGAAGAAATGAAATTCTGGATCTAGAACTTTTCTACTATTATTTGAACAAGGACTAGCATCGGTGTCGATTTTTGGTAATTCCTTCTGTTCTATTTCTTCTGGTGCACTTCCCATAGAACTTCTATCGGTGGACGAAGTTTCACCTTTAACATCACTAGTGGAAGATTCCTGAGCTGATTCACCCACTCCTTCTTGTTGAGGTTCGTTAACGGCGGAAGTTTTTCTTTGGGAATTTTTCTTTTTCATCAAAGACTTCTTCCTCTTCTTCTTTTTATTTCCACTTCTAGTAACTTCATTTTCAATTTGAATTTGAACTTGACTTGGAGTGGTGGGTAACTGAACTTTATTCAATAACTCCTTTTTAGGTAAAATTTCTTCGTTTTTATCCTCCGATTTGCTATCCATATCCAAACTGTCCATATGGAATATAGTTTCAGAAACATCATCTTTGGTAGTTATATCATCACTGGTTAACTTCGCAGATTGCATAGAGAGCGATAAATCTTCAGTACTTTGTTCTCGAACTTCGATGTTTCCAAGAACAATTTGTCTTTCCAAGAATTCTCTTTTTCTATTACGTTCATCATCATTTCCCGCGGTGTATCTACGCTTGGTATAATCATTAACTTGATTTTCAATCTTCGCAAACTCTTTGCTGTCTTCAACCAAACTAATACTATTTCTTCGACGTCCTTGAGCGTTATAAAGTTCTTCTAAATGTGAAATTGGAATCGGGGAGGTCGCTAAATGATCCGGGATTTCTTCAGTTTCCGGACTATTTGTTTCAACGAAGAATGCCTCACCACTTTCGCCCAATTTCATATGAATCTCTTGTGGTTCTCCATTAATTTCAATATCAACCTAAATAAATAAAATTAAATTAAAACATCTGGATATTTTAAACTTGAAATAGTGAGAGTTAATTTTGTTGAGAATTTATTTCCTAACTTGGATCTAATATAAGACTAGATAAATTTATGCGGTATGAACGTTTAAAATGATTATATATTGTAGGTTGCCAAGGACATGGAAAATTATAAAGTACGCAATATAGCGAAAATTGTGCTAGTCAAAATAATAGGTCCGTATAGCAGCCGACTGTAAATTATAAATTAAAACAATCTTTTTACCATTCAAGCGATGTTACGCAATAAATTAGTAAGTTGGCGTTAATGCCAAATAGCGATATTAATTTTAAAGGTGAGCTTTATGTTTCAGACGTAAAATTTCGTTTGCCAAAAATTATCGTTGTCCCGCACGTCAGTATACTTTAAAACAGTCAACGCTTATTTCCGTTCAAAGCGATATAATAAATTGAAAATAATCGTTAATTCAATTCGTATACGCGCGACATTGAATTGAACTTTAGAAGTTGAACACGTGGGGCTAAAAAAATTATGTGTAGGATGGACATTTTTGGTACAATTTATCAAAACATGTTTTTCTTTTATAGATATTTTGATACCTACATTTTTTTAAACATTATTTTTTTAATTTTATATTTTATTATGTTTAGTACCACTGCAAGATTCGTTGAGAAAAAAATTTCCTTTCTAAAAGAGAAAATGTATGTCATAATAAATCGTCTTATTAATTTTACTCTCTAGAAAAAAATAATAACTTTTTGCGTTTAACAATAGAATATATACGATAATTAAAAATAGAGAATCATGTCGAAATAATTTTATAATAAATGAATAACAATTGAAAATTTTATAAAAATTAATTATGTTAGTGAGTTCTAATCTTAACTACATCTGCAACTATAAGTTAAGGTAATACCAGCATTAATAGATGATATAAAATGATGAATGATATAGAACAGGTACAAGGTGTTATTGGAATCATTTTAAAAGCGATAGTAATTTCGCAATTAAAAAGAAAGTGGTAACTCTAACGTTGAAAACATATAGCGAGTTATGGAAACACTAAATGTAAAAATGTTTTTCGTTTAACAAATTATCTTTTAAGCATTTGTAATAAACTTATAACGTCATCTAACATTATAAGACGAGAAGTACCAACATAATTTTAAGTAAGTACCTGTCATAACAAATGGTATCAATAAAATTAAATCATCTGCCGGTAGACAGTATGGGTTTCAGCAAAATACGTTCAGTAACTACATCTGTAGCTATAGGTATGTAGCAAAATATGTTGTCTTGTATGAATACCACCCTTGATCCATATAATAAATTTTTATTTTAAAAGAAGTGTCTTTCCTTTTTGTGGAGCTCCTATACCAAAGAACAATGCTTCAACACAATTTGGCCCTATATGCAATTGGGTTATCATCAAATAATTTCCTACATTACTGGGTGTAACAATTAACGTAATTATTTTTGGTTATAAAATAGTATTATTTTGTTCGTTTTTCTTAATTATAGCAAAACTTTTGATAAGGTAAAGTACTTGTATTTTTACATTTGTCTTTTTGCAAAGAAGCAAAAATGTTGGAATTAATGGAATGAACATTGAATACATCAATATATCCAACGGTCACTGTGTACTTTTTACAGCTTCTTATACTCAAAAACCATGACAGACGACTCCCACAAGTTAATCTTCTGCTTCTTTGCTGAAGCCGTAAAGGCTGGTCTACAATCTTCGGCAATTCATGGCAGTCTATTCCTCCTATGTCAGCACATTCATCTTACCACTTCCTGGTATTTGTCCAAAATCTCTTTGTTTCTTCTTTAATCCCATAGTATGTTTCCAGTGATTTCCCTCAAAATCGCTATGTAATTGGTACGCACCATCCTTTTTTATATGTACTGTGTCTGCCCACGTCTCAGCTGTATATGCCATTATTGGCCGCGCACTAACTTTGCGTATCCTCACTTTGATCGTGGAAGAATTGCAGCTATTTCACCAGATGGTCATTGCAATAGCCATTGTAGTCCATCCTCAGTGTCTGCAATCAATGTTGCATCGTCTGCGTAGCGTATGATTTTTAGTTCGTCTTTTCCTAAATTGTATCCATCTTTTACCTTACACACTTGTTCAATGATCCCATCCATTCAGATATTAAAGACAAATGGGCTGTGGCTCACTTTGTCTCACATTTACAATCAAAAATATTACTTTTGTGGTAAGTATCTTTGTCCAGCAGTTGTATGAACGCTTTCGTCAAATCTATAAAGCATAATTATGCTGGTTTGCTACATTCTATTGCTTTCTGCCATACTTCATTAAATGCGAAGACCCGAAACCTTGTTGTTCCTCGTTTGTTGTTGTGCTTCAGAAAGTGGTGTTGCAGGAGATAGAAAAACAACTTCACGGATATGATTAGGAAGGAAGTTCTTTGAGTCTAAAGATTAATTTCTTAAATACCTACAGTATTTTCTTATACATCTCTGTGAGCTGTTCTGGTAGTCTTTCTTTTCCCCACTTCAGCAGGTCATTGGGGGTATTATCCGGGTATGATGACTTCCTGTTTTTCAATTGTTTCAGCTGCAGTGTCCTCGGATGTCAATTGTTTAATTTCCTCGTGAATCTGCTCTCCCTAGCCTTGCCCTTTGGCTGAGGTTCCATCACCTTTCTTTTTCTGTACACAAAGCTTGAAAGTGCATGCAGCTAACTTGTTATGTGTCTTCATCGAAAAATTTCATGTAGTTTAAGAAGTTATGTGTATTAATTCTAATATTTATAGAGACTCAAATATTTGTTATAATAAAATAACTTGTTTTCGTACAATATAATAATAAATGAACAAACTCTTAGTCGTTACAGATAACATTTATATTTTCAATTTATTTTTTATTTATTATTTAAAATTTTTGATAACCCTATCTGTAAATTCTAAGAACTTATCATATCACTTTATTGTCTAGAGCTAATCAAATTAGTGTCTGTATGCAGTCTATACCAAATATAAAGTAAAATTTCACCCATTTATAAACATATACAAAATATGATTTGAAAGTCGTCGCACACCCTCACAAAGAGTCCGATTCATCAGATTCATTGCATTTATCTTCTAGGTTATCCAAAACGTTAAGATCTCCTAAAAGGTCGTCTTTTAGAAGAATTCAATTAAAAACAGATAATTCGTTTTGTTGCATGAGACATGCTGCATTTTTGTGTGCTCATATCGTTATTTTCTCTGTTTGACGGCACCGTTTTCATGAAATCTGTTCGAGTAAGAAACAAGGTTCTTGGTAGATTATAATTGGTTTCCATAACCGAATTCTTACATAAAAGTTACTCCATTCAACGTAAGTCTTCTGCCACACAAAGAAAAAGTAGCAAAATCTTATTTAAGACCATTCTAAGACAACAAAAATCCATCTAAGCGATGTTTACGAATTAATTAATCGCCGCCAACCCATTATGAATGTTAGGCGATAAGTTCTATTTACACCGAGGGAACACACATATAAATGTTTCAATTTCGTATCACCTGATCTATTATCGAGGCTCTTTATCTATGCGTAGAGGTCATTGAAGTTTTGTAATTCCTAACAATAAGGAACTTAGTTCAAAGGCGAGGTAATTTACAAGGTCGTGATGTTTTCAGTCACAAAGGTTAACGATTCTATTGCAAATATTAAATTTATCGTCGTGATCTTGATAATATTGTTTTTCCTATTGAACATTGATTAGATTGGATTATTTGATCATAATGGCTATTTTAATGCTAACGATGAATTGTTAAATAATAAAACAGTAGTTAAATTTCAAGGATTTTTAACCATAAAAACCCGATTCAAAATTGAAACCGAAATGTTTAAATGATAAAACAAAAAAAAAATATTACATTTAAATTGAAAAGTGCTGTTCAAGAACTGTTAGGAGTATTATTTATATAATTTTGTAAACATTTTACAATTTTAATCAAAAGTAACTGAGTTTGAAATGAAAAACATCTAATTATAGTTCATTTAAACCATGCACGTGTTATACTATGATTTATGTAAACAATTAAATTAATAACTGCAATCAAAACATTAATCATCTACCTCAGAGTTAAACACAAATAAATAATATAGGTACTGCTCCAATAACTAATTTAATAGTTACTTTAATAAGTTAAGAAAGAAAACTCCTTTAAGATAATTGCCGACCTAAAACTAAATTCAGTGTGAAATCGGAAAAATAAATGAGAGAAAATACTAGAAGCGAAATGATAAATAAAAACAACTAACATTAGAGAAAGTACTTACAATCTTCTCTTTACTTCTTAACACTCCCAATTTTCCAAATCGAACGTGAAAAGGGCTGCAGTTGTAACTTCCATCTTGTTGTTCCACCACGATAACATCTATAGCCCCCGTTAAAGTTGCCCCATTGATGTCGTTATAAAACTCTTTAAAATTGTGAAAGAAACGACCAATATAGTTCATTCCATGCATGGCGGCAGACTTGGTCTTGCCGTATTTACTCGATTTTGCGTTCACTGTGTAGCCTTATTGAAACAATTATAAAAAAACTATTCCGATTTTATCAAATCGGAAATGCACTCTTCTAAAATTATCACTTGATAACGGATTTTCGACTCGCGCGTTCTAAATGACTGTGTTTCTGTGGTGAGCTCGCGCTCGTTTTTAAACGACCATCGTTGAGTCTGACATGCGCAACTTGAACGGCGTCAGAGAATCTGAAACGTAGAGAGAACAAATAAAACGTTATAGTTTGCGAATAGAATCGTCACGGTGTGTTTTCGTTTTAAATCACCTTTGACCCCTAACATCTGTGCTTTAAACCCGATAAAATTGTTTGAGGAGAAATCGGTTTTATCAAATACAAACAAAAAATAATAGGTGTATTAAAAGATTTGGATTAAAATTAATAAAGTCACGGTTTTTTTTGTGTGTTACATAAAATTATTATCGTAACGTGTTATTGTTTTTTTGAGTTTAAATTACGTTAAGTGCAAACACTGCGCTTTGGGAAAGTATCCAACTAAAGTTTCAAGTTCAATACTTAACGTATGATCAGCAATGTCAAGTTTATATTCACGTAATCCCTACGAATGCTAACTACATCGTGTTACTATGCACTGTGTTATTTGAACTGTAATATAACACAGCTACCAGTAATAATGTATTAATAATAAAATGTTATTCATTTCAAAATCTATTAAAAGTATCATTAAATGACTCAATATAGAGTGTAAAAAATTAAGTGTTAGTTTAAAGTTAATGTTTTAAAATGAATCAAAAAGGGAAAGAATCTGCTTTTTATGCTTTCTTATCTTCTTCGTTTCAAGAAAATCCAAGAAAATTAGTATATATATTAATTTAGCAATTCCTTGTGTATGTATATGTAGTTTTATGTGGGGGTGAATTCCTTCACAGCACTTAGGCCCTAGCGGGCCCTTTATACAGAAAGGTATGTTCTTTCCGGCTCGTCTTCCATTTCAAACCCTCTACAAAGGAGTGTGTTCGCCAGCTTCATGTAGAACATATGCTTACATAACCTGCAGTGTATGGTCAGCATGTGGGTGAGGAGCCTCAAGTCACTTTTTGATTTATCTGTGAACTGAGTTGACCTTTTCCGATCAGAGTAGAGCAGAGTTTTCTTTGCAAAGACACCTACTGCAGTCTCATCCCATCTATCGCAAAAAGCTCGACGGGAGATGGAGTTGATCAGCTTTGATGCTGTATTAAAACTTAGCGGTACAAACGGTTCAGAGGAAACCGGCGACTTCTTAGCAGTCCGTTTCGCCGGCATGATCGTGTCACTTATATCCTTTGCGCCACTTTATCGTGAGGCTGTTATAAACATTAGCCCCTTCAAGTAATTGCCGACAGGACTTCACTAACGATGATGTAGTTCGATGTCTACTAAGCGCTAGCATAGCCTGTCTGCTATCAGTGCAGATTACAACGTTTCTGCAAACTTTTTTGGAGTCGATAATCACATTAGCTGCTACATTCACAGCAGTTATTTCAAACCAACCCAACATCAGCGAAATGGAAAGGTGCAGCTGGATATCGTGCAAGAATTTTCCCGCTCCAAAGCCTCCAACCTTCTTTGATCCATCAGTGTAGATGGTCAACGTTCAGTGCTAAAGTTGGTCTGGGGTGTCGTCCCAATGCCAAAGTGTGGCTTGTTTAAGAAAGTAGATGTGATGTAGTCTCTGCGAGCTTCAAGGAGAGGCTGTTTACAAACAGTCTCACTCCAGAGTTCGCTCCGGACTATTCCCTGTGCAATTCCTTGTGTAACATCTCCGATTATCTGATAATCTTTATTTGTAAATTGTTACACTCAATCTATCTTGAATGTTTGAATATGATTTGCAAAATTGGAAGCGGTTTAATCCGAGGAATTCAATAAAATAAAACAAGGTTATAAAAAAAAACACAAAGAATCTGTAGATCTTATCTGTTATTTGAAAATTAACACAAAATATTTGTATTTGTTTTGAGTTAATGAACTTTATTCAAGGTTTTAATATTTTTTACCTTTCGAATTTAAATAAATGATTACTTTGTTATTTAATATTGAAAGTAGATTTCTAAAATGAAATCCGTAATAAAAAGAGTGGAAAAATACTAGATACTAAATTTTATCGTTGCATGTCAACAATCTAACTATACTTGCGTGAGGTCAACCTTGACATATAACGCAAAATATATTTTGTTATCATACCCAATTGTTATCGAAATTACGTATTAAATAGAAGAAATAGTGTGATTATCGTACGATTGAAACCTTGTGAAAAATTAACACTCGAGATTTTCGCTGCAAACAATACTGAAAGATAAGGAGCGATTACCATACAATAACATTTTTCGTAGAACGGTTCGACAATAAACCCAATGTTTTTTTAATTATACAATGATCTAGTTAATGAGAAAATTTCAACGAAAAAAAGAATAAAATTCACGGTAGGTTACAAAATAAGTTCGAATCCGAAGTTGACCTATTTTAGAAATATCCACCAGATGTTTATTGAGTTGAAAATGTTTGGTTTTTATCAAGGATTTACAGGAAATGGACTTTAACCTCGAAAGGTGACTCAATTTGAACAGATTCCAGAATAAATTCCAGAGTCTCCCCTTTCTACATTTTAAAACACATTTATTTTATAAATGAAATCGATTGAGCTTGCCAGATTTTATTTTTTAAACGCCGAAAATATTTAACCTTCTAGAAAATAACAAATAAATAAAACTCTTTGTGGTGAAAGTTTAAAACTTTTGTTTTCGAAGTAATTGCGGTGTTAGATTTCGTTTTAAAAAAACAACAACAAGATTTCATTGATTAACCATCTTGTTTTGTTGGTAATGAACTCTAACGTATCGTTTACACAAGGTTATTTACCTGCGTATTTACAATCTTTTAAACAATATTTGAAGCCTTCAAATATTTGTTTCCGTTCAATTTTTATTTTGCAATAACTCGCTATTTTTTTATGGAGTTTACGAATTATGTAACAATATTTACTTTGCAAAAGATTTTCCATCTCTAACATTTTAAATCTGATTACGTAATACTTAAATAAAACTTTTACAAAAAAAATTTAAAGTAAATAAAGTACTGACATCCTAGAGGTCATCTTTCACGTAAATCGGGACCAACTTTTTCAATTGATGTTACACGCCTATTTTGAAAAACAATGTTATTAAATAGAGTCATAACGTCACATTTAGATTAGATTATAACTTTTTTAGATCCAAGCTGAAATGTTATCATGGAAAAACGTTAACTAAAGACGCATTGTCTTTTGTTACGTCGATATTGTTGCAACTTCTTTGTACTTTTATTATATCGTTAGATAACGTTGTTAGTAACGAGGCTAATTTAACTATTGTTCTGTAACGTTGTAAACAACGCAAGAAGTTATTTACATCGAGGGTGTGAACGCCCTTTTATCTATTTATAATACAATCAATATTTGATACGAAAGTTCTATCTTGAAAAATAAAAATTCTTTAAAAGTACGTATCTGGATATGTACAAATAATAACAATAAACTAATTAATACGTTTTTATTTCTATCAATAATATACAATTTCGATAATAAAATGTAAAGTCATCGTAAGACGTGTTAAAAAAAACTTGCAGGCTTAAACGATGGCAAACAGGATATCACACGTTGATGAACTAAAAATGGAATGTTAGATGGAAACTCATTTAACTCCTACTTTAAACACGAGAAGAAATCACTTTGTATCTTCTTCAACTTCCTCAACTGTCAACTACAAAAAAAAAACTGGCAGTCTGTTAATTAATTATCATATCCGACGTCATCATTGCAAGTATGCAAGCAATACCACAGTATTGGTATTGCAAATTTATGTTCTTGCTGCCGAGGTAAGGGTAGCGGCCCATACGGTCTATTGTAATTTACACCCTCCAAAGGTTTAGAGAAAATCTAGGTCTGTGATGAACCTTACTATTGCTCCTTTATGTCAGTAGGTTACAGGTAAACCTTTCCGAAAATCTTGTATCACGCAGAATATGTTCAGTAGTCTCTGACTTGTTGTTGCAAAGACGACAAGTTTGATCCTCATCTTGTCCAATGTTGAAGAGATGGTACTTTAGGGATGGTCAGTAAGAAAACTTGAGAGCCACCTTAGGCACCAAGGTTTTCTATTGCGACGTAAGTTCTTATGTAAGACGGAAGTTCTTTCCAATAATTGTGTACTTTTCTTCTTAACAACATGTAAAAAACAAGTCTACAATGTTTGTTCTCGTAATTTAGAAACACTTCATAGATGAAATACGTCCAAGTAAGTGTCCTAATAAACAATGCGTAGTAGAACATATTAAAACAATATTTATCCTAGAACTTGAAAAAGTGACGTCAAGACACACCTCCAAAGTAATAAAAAAAAATCAACTGCGTTTTCAAATTTAAAAGTCGCCACGTGCGGAAACCTGGCAAAAAGTCGTTTACCGCTCCGGTTCAAGGACGGAAAAATAAAATACATAGGCTTGAATTTAGGACAGATAAATTTTTGTTGTTGGCGCCCAATTGAAAAACGAAATCGGTTACATAACGGTTTGCCAAAAAAACAGTTTCTACACGTTATATACATAAACATGAAAAGTTTAAATTCTTTTTCGAATTTGATATACATTGAGGTATCCTTGTATTTTAAAGAAAAGAAAACATAAGACGTGAATGATTTATTTTTATTATACTAAGATGAGACGACACAAGCGAGTTTCACGTGTGCACTCAACAACAATCCAAATCCGTTATTTATTAAATTAAACATAACACGTTACAAATCCGTTTAACGTTATTGATTGTTTTCCCAACGATTTTAAACATTTCTAAACAAGATTTCTAAAATAGAATCGTATATAAGAGTTAATTTATTTATCATAGTTAGAATTATTTTATTTTAACGCATTTGTAAATAAAAAACATTCAATAAAACAACAAAATAAATAGTAATTTTTCAAAATTGTTCCATTGCAATCTCACGAATGTATGGAATTCCCCCATGTCTTTGTGTATTACTGCTGATTTCCCCACAGTCACCAGATATTAACCCCATAGAACACATGTGGGATTTTGGAACTTTACGATTACTTTTGTGAGGTTATCCTATTTTAGAAATCATGCAAAAACCGATGATGTACGATGACTTTTGGGACTGCCTGTACATATACACTTAATTCTTTAAGCTTCAATTGCGTGTAAAAAAAGCTGCTTGATAATTACATAACTTTTGCAATGGAAAGGCAACAAAGTGCATAAAGTAGAATGCGGTAAAAAGAGTTACTTTTGTTTTAAGTGTAGTTTAAACTTAAATTGCTTTATTTAGCGCAATAATGCGGCACTCATATATTTTAAATGAAACAAAGGGAAAGTTGTTTCAGTGCTTTAGGTGATCCAATGAACGTTTTTGATTGGCTGATATGCGTCACCAGAGGCTCGCGTGAGACTCTTCAGCATTGCACGATTCAAATTAACATTATCTGAATCGATTTAATAAAATTATAACAAACAAAGAAAGATTAAGAAAAATGTTTTAGCGTAGACTAAACAAAAATAACGATGCACAAAGAATTTGATTATTATTTGGGAATACGTGAGGGGTTAAAGTACAAATCAGATTTATTAATAAATATCAAATTATTCGTTTAGGGGTCATCAGAACAAATTATTATTTAATGGAATAATTTCAACATAATTCTAAATATAAACCAAACAGATTAATATATTTTTAACAATCTTTTTTAATTAATAGACGAGATTTATTGAGCGAACATCGTGAACAAGGGGGGTCTTTATCGATTAAGGCTTAATCACCGTTAAATGAAAGAAAAGTAGATGAATTCTTTAACGAAAAAATAAAATAAACTCTTACCTACTCTCATCGACTCATACAACCGGTTGTTATCGCTTAATAATCGAGCACAACTGCAAAATTTCAAGAAACACCATTAACACAGCTCTCCTTTATCTCACTTTGTTTGACAGATCCAGACTTGAATACAAACTCTATTGTCAAGTTGAAGTAATCGATTTAAGCAATTTCCCTAAAAGCTATTTATCATACAACCCAAATAAAATTTGCAACATCTAAATTGAACCCTAATTAATACCAATCGATCTAAAATTAATCCTAATACAATTATATAAAGCGAAAATTATTAAATAAACAATAAAAAACAATATAATAACCACAATTTGTGTCAACTATCCTAATACCCAAATTTTCTACAGGACTCAAACGTCAAAACCGTCAAACGTGAATTATATAGGTTATGTTCAAAATAACAATCACAAAACTGTATTAAATTGATAAAATACAAATTTAAATAGATAAAAATGGATGATAGTGTGTGTCCAAGATGCAGGACATCAAAATTCCAAAACCCCTCAATGAAAATGATGGTAAATGTATGTGGCCATGGACTTTGCGAGAGTTGTGTGGACCTATTATTCTTAAAAGGTAAAAGAAATAATAAAAATCAACCCCACCATCAATAATGTCAGCTTTTAGGTGCTGGTTCTTGCCCTGAATGTAGAATACCCCTTCGTAGAAACAACTTTCGCGTACAACTTTTTGAAGATCCAGGAATTGAGAAGGAAGTAGATATACGAAAAAGGGTTCTTCGGGATTTTAATAAAAAAGAGGAAGACTTTAATTCTCCCAGAGAGTACAATGATTATCTTGAAGAAATAGAAACGATTATTTTTAACCTTACGAATGATATTGATGTAGTGAATACAAATAAAAAAATTGAACAACATAAAAGGGACAATAGGGAACAGATACTTAAAAATAAAAATAAATTAGGGCGAGATGAATATGAATTGGAAGAATTATTGGAGTTAGAAAAACACCAAGAAGAAATTCGTAGGAATGAAGTGAAAATGGAAGAAATTGAAGCTAAAAAAAAGAAAATCAGAGAAAAGGAAGCATTAATCGATGAACTAATGTTTTCCACTGGTAATGCGAAAAGTATTGTTGAAACTTTTGTTCAAAGTGTTAAAGAAAGTAAAGAGGAGACTAAAATACCCCAAAAAGTTACTAAATTCTCAACTGGAATTCAACTTGGAAGACAACAAAATACATTTATACCCATACCTACCGACGAGGGACCTCTTTTTGTTTATAAAGCACCAACATTCCAAAATGATGGTCCTAAATTACCATCAGATGATCAAATTTGTAAAGATGGTTATTTAACTCACATTCGTTCAGAATTAGAACAGGAACGAGCGGGAGGATTTAAAGCAAAAATCGCTTGTTCAAGAGCTTTACAAGATGCATTATCTGGACTTTATCACTCAAAGAAAACACCAATAAGTTAACTAATAAGTTAAAAGTCGTTAATTTGTAATTTTTTGTATTTATATTTTGATGTTATTAAATTGAATTTTAGAATTACAGTAAAATCTCAATATATGGGATTAATACGGGGAAGGAAATATCTTTTATAGTTAAAAGTCTGTTATATGAATAATTTTTAATTTGCACTTTCAAAAAATAAGAGAATATATATTTGACGTCCGATATATATCGGTGTTTTACTGTATTTCTAATTTACTAGATTATAAGTATCTCTTTTTTCAATTTTAAAAAGAAAATTGTGATAATTATTAATTTTTCGAATTTAATTTTTTTATAATTTTGTCAATTACAGATTACTTTTTTATCTATCTTAAGTAGTTCAATAAAATAAATATCGTGGCGCTTTGTAAAGTGTTTAAAATTTGACAGCAGATCAGTTGCAAACTTCACGCGAGTATCCGCACTGATGGCTGATTGCACAGATAGGTGTATCTCAAAAGTCACTTAAATAATTCTTTAAATATCTCGCGACGTTCATAAATAAACGGACGAATTGTTTAGTTTTCTCGTTATTTCTGTCGTTCGGTGACGATGTCGAAGTTAGGTGATAAACAGAATTATTCGCAAACTTACAAACTAGTTATAGTCGGAGGTGGTGGTGTTGGAAAATCAGCGATAACCCTACAATTTATTCAGGTATAGAAACGTTTTTTTTAGTAAATTTTTACGTTTGGTAAACAGATTTGGGTAAACAAAAGCTTAAAGGAACTAGGAGACACCTGTGTCTTTATAAGGAGTGAATAGACTTTAGTATCCTTGTTAAATCCCACATATGACGAAGAAACGAAGCCTTGTAATAAGTTTGTAGATAAACAAACGTTTAATTTTGAAAAAAGAAGATATTTAACTTGTTTATAAATTGACGGAGGCTATCTCATGGTTTATGTAATAACTGGGATATTAAATTACTCCTACAATAAATGATGAGACTCTAGCTTAGAAGATTATTTATATCCAGAGAGTTTGTCAGTATCAGATAACAGAACAATACTGAATATTTTTGTAATTGAAATGTTACTTTTTAAATCTTGTTTTTAATAATAAACGTTGGAGCGATATTTTTAGTTCAAATTTTACTTCGATTTCGAATCTGCTTGCAACATACTGTTGGGGTTTCATAATTTTTGTTATTTCTTGGGTTATATTGATTTTATATAAATAATATGCTTTTTTGCTAGTAAATAAAAAGCAAGATAAGATTAAAGTGTAAATACTTTCAACTCCTTTTTGTGGGAACTAAACCACATAAACTTGAATTAATCCTAATTTAAACTTTAATTTTATGAAACTAATTTTCCTAAGAATAAAGTGGTTTTTACTTGAAATTTAATAACTAATTTTATTTATAAAGAATTTTCCAAATATTGTTGACACTCTGTATAACGATAAATTGTTCAAGTCAAGGTCGATTTAATTTATGATCCATTAGCAAATTAAACTGAAAACATTGGCACGTATCTTGCGAAGGAGGAGAAACAATTTTGAACGTTTTCGTAGTGCCCCGCAGGTTCTAAATCTGTTCGCGTTGGTGCAATTTCCAAGCGCGTAACGAGCAAATTGATTTTGCGTTGAAAGGCAGACGCCAACATCCGTCACCGACCGTTTTAATTAAGGACCAGTTCCAAATTGTAGATTTAGCGTGACGATAACGAAACTATTTTTAGTAAAAAAGCTACTAAACAAGAACTGGTTTTCGACCCACCCAATTTATTTTAATTAATTGGATGATATTTTGATTATCATTATAAATAAACATTACTTTAAATGGGTTGCTACTGAAATAAAATTTTCCGATGATTCATATCGGTTACGTTTTGTGAATATCAAAACGATAATGTTATATCGACTTCATATCTATTTGACCATGGAATTTGTCATTTTTTAAATATCATGTAGAAATTGTAAGTTATATAATTTCTAATTATTATACAGTGCAACGCAAAATTATAAAATGTCTTCTGTATGCAATTTAGTTTTAGAATTTGTATTTCGATCGTATTGACATCGCTCTCAAGAAAGACTGCAAAAGAGAAGTCTTTAGAAGATGATGTGTATTTGTGGTCTACCTAGAGGCGTAGTTTAGACAAACCCGTATCAAGACCCTTGATATACAAATATAAATATGCCTTATACTTTCAAGTGGTCAAAAACTTTCAAGCCAAGACATATAATATGGAAATTTTTGCTGCAGAATCTTCCAAAGCCCAATGTTTGAATTTTTCATGCAATTTTTGGTAGAGAAGCCCTTTACAATTGTGACTACACCAAGATAAATTGGATTCTCGACAATCCTTAATTTTTTGTCGAGAAAAAGCAGTTTCAAGTTTTTACTTCCAATGACTTATAGCCTACAGAAAAGTGCCTGGATAAATACTGACTTTTTACAGGCTGTTATAAAAATGTATTCATACCAAATGTGAAAATTTTTACCCATGACATGCTCAGACGGCAGGGAAGTTCAGCTCCAGTTTTCATAAACGTCGTATACGACGTCTTCCGAGAGTCCCGTTTGCTTTTGGTCTATCTTTTATCCTTGCTAATCTTTAAGCTTCCATACGTTCAACAGGATCTCTCCATTCCCGTATTTTTTTGCGGGCCCATCTCATAATGTCTTAGTTAATCGCATATCTGGCCATAGCGTCTTCATCTCCCTTTTGCGGATTTTTTTGTTTTAGCATTTTCTGCTTTTGTCTTTATCACGAATGGCATAACAGGTTTTGTATCTCTTTTGCCATATTATGTTCCTTATGTGACCTGATATTAAAGCTTCTTTCATTATTTGAGTTATATCTTCTTTTTGCAATTTTCTGCTGCTATTGATGCCAAGATATTAAAAACGTGTCCTATAGGTTTGTCATATACTGCCACTTGCTATTGTTAGAATACTTGTTTTCACACCAAGATGATCATGTCGAATTTTGTTGCTGTTTTTTTTTGTTATTGGTACAGCATCCTATGAATGTTATCTTCCTCCGTCGATAACAGGACAGTAACATTCGTATAGCAAACTATTTCACGTAAATTTTTTTTTTCAAATTAATGAAGATTTATGAGAAATTTCATGACAGGACTAAGTGTGTACATGATGATAACGTTAAATAAATTGATATAGATTGATATTATTTACCTATGTATAATCTTTAGTAAATGTTTTAAGTTTAGTATTAAATTGTTTAGTTAGATATGAAAACATTATCTTTAAAAAACCACATAGTATAACAATCAAATTTGTTATTTATTTGAATGGTTTTTGTTATTATTATCAATACTTTTTATGAAATAAAATTCTTATGAAGCAGTTTTCTCGGAATTGGATTATATCAATGTAAAATCACATTTTTAAAGCAATTACAATTTGTTGTTATTGTATAATTTTCTCTGAGAGCTTTCATCATGATAATCTTTATTAATTCCCTTTTGCCATTATTGAATGCTTTTGATACTTTTCTAATAAGCGATCGTTGTTCTCATTAAATAATAGTCAGTATTATGATGTACCTTTGAAATAGTAACTCTGTGATATACACTTAACACAACGATATCCGGGAATCCAACCCAAATCAACTGCTTGGAAGGCAACTATGCTAACCATTACACCACGTCTGCAGATGAAGTGAAAGTTTGCGAGTAATGGATGTAGCTTCCTATTGAGAGAAAGAAAAAGATTTGTTAATAAAATTAATGCGATGGCCGGGAATCGAACCCAGATCAACTGCTTGGAAGGCAACTATGCTAACCGTTACACCGCTATCGCTTATATCTTTCTGCAGATGAAGTGAAAGTCTGCGAGTAACAGATGTAGCTTACTGTTGAGAGAAAGAAAAAGATTTGTTAATAAAATTAATGCAATGGCCGGGAATCGAACCCAGATCAACTGCTTGGAAGGCAATTATGCTAACCATTACACCACCAACGCTTATATCTTTCTGCAGATGAAGTGAAATTATGCGAGTAATGGATGTAGCTTCCTATTGAGCGAAAAATAAGATTTTTTTAATAAAATTAATGCGATGGCCGGGAATCGAACCCAGATCAACTGCTTGGAAGGCAACTATGCTAACCATTACACCACCAACGCTTATATCTTTCTGCAGATGAGGTGAAACTTTGCGAGTAATGGATGTAACTTACTATTAAGAGAAAAAACAAGATTTGTTAACAAAATTAATGCGATGGCCGGGAATCGAACCCAGATCAACTGCTTGGAAGGCAACTATGCTAACCATTACACCACCATCGCTTATATTTTTGTGCAGAGGAAGTGAAAGTCTGCGAGTAATAGATGTAGCTGAATATTGAGAGAAAAAAAATTTCTTAATAAAATTAATGCGATGGCCGGGAATCGAACCCAGATCAACTGCTTGGAAGGCAACTATGCTAACCATTACACCACCAACGCTTATATCTTTCTGCAGATGAGGTGAAACTTTGCGAGTAATGGATGTAGCTTCCTGTTGAGCGAAAAATAAGATTTTAAGGCAACTATGCTAACCATTACACCACCATCGCTTATATCTTTCTGCAGATGAAGTCTAAGTCTGCGAGTAACAGATGTAGCTTACTATTGAGAGAAAAAAAAATGTATTAATAAAATTAATGCGATGGCCGGCAATCGAACCCAGATCAACTGCTTGGAAGGCAACTATGCTAACTCTTACACCACCAACGCTTATATCTTTCTGCAAATGAGGGGAAACTTTGCGAGTAATGGATGTAGCTTCCTATTGAGCGAAAAATAAGATTTTCTTAATAAAATTAATGCTGGCCGGGAATCGAACCCAGATCAACTGCTTGGAAGGCAACTATGCTAACCATTACACCACCAATGCTTATATCTTTCTGCAAATGAGGGGAAACTTTGCGAGTAATGGATGTAGCTTACTATTGAAGGAAAAAATGTTTTTTCCTGATGTGGCGAATATCTGGACGACAGAAAACTTTCGCCGGACAGTTCCGAAACTTGTTTCCTGAAACGTCGCAAAAAACACGTTTGCATGTTTCACCGGGAGCAATAAAGTTTTAAAAACTTTACCTAACACCACCATTATTTTCGTCATCGTCACCAGAGGAAGTGCAAGAGGGAAATCGATGAACCGCGTTAATAACAAACCTACTTTTTATTTCTTTGCTTTAATTAATCAGATTTTCAGTCCTGCTCTTATCATATTTAGCTTATATGGTAGATCTTTGTGCCACATCGAATCAGAAGCCTTTTGGACATCCAAAACTACGTGGAATTGCGAAACCAGAATCAATAGAGGATGGAATGTTTATCTTCCGGTCTTTAGATGATTTTCAAATATATTAAAAAAAAATTATATTTACTGTATGCATTGAATTTGGTTAGTTATAAAATTTTTATTAATTGTTGTAATAACTAAAATCTAAATTGAGATAAATGTTGACTTGAAATCATTTTGTAATTCACGAAAGTCCAAAGATAATATGAAATATTTAGGTCAACGACGAACGTCGAGTTGTGTTTAAAACACTTCGATAAAATTTGAAAGAAAAACCTTTTTTTTGTATATCTACATTTATAAGAGTCTCCGAAAGCGAATGTTAATGACCCGATTCGAATAAAAATACATGACCATGAGGTGAAATTTGTCGATTCGTTCGTAAAGTGTTTCGATGATGTCATTCGATTATTTATGATTCATATAACCGCGTATTTATAACTTTTCTTTCGAAAGAAAATGTTAACTATATTTTTGTATGCAACTCAACAATTTCTTTGATTAATTTATTAATAACTTCATTAAATTTTTAACACGTGTTAAAATTTAACTTTCGTATGAATTATTTAAATAACTTTCATTTTCTTTTTTTTTTCAGAGTTATTTTGTAACAGATTATGACCCAACGATAGAAGATTCATACACAAAACAATGCGTGATAGACGATATACCAGCAAAATTAGATAGTACGTTTTTTACATCACAAAATAGATAGTAAGTTACCGATTTAATTCAGTTTTAGATACAGCTGGGCAAGAAGAATTCAGTGCAATGCGAGAACAATACATGCGATCGGGTGAAGGATTTTTATTAGTATTTTCAGTCACGGAAAAATCTAGTTTCGAAGAAATCTATAAATTTCATAAACAAATTCTTAGAGTTAAAGATAGAGATGAGTTTCCAATGTTAATGGTTGGAAATAAGGTAATTAATAAACAATTAATATAATATTGACTAACTTGTTTTTTTTTTAGATTGATTTAGAATCACAAAGAGTTGTTTGGCAAGAAGAAGCTCAAGCTTTGGCGAGAAATTTAAAAATTCCTTATATGGAATGTAGTGCAAAAATGCGAATGAACGTCGATAACGCTTTTTACGAGTTGGTCAGGGTCGTGCGGAAGTTTCAAGCTTCTGAACGGCCCCCAATAGACCCTACTCTTAAAGAGAAAAGCAAAAAGAAGTGTTGTATTTTGTAATTTATTCATAATTCGGCTAAAGGACTGTTTAGGTAAAACGCTACATCACATAATTTTTTCACTTGTCTACATCACAAACCGGATCGACTCGTTTATTGCAACGTTATTGTAAGCGTAACAATACGTGTATGCGGATTACTGCCCGTCATAAACATGATATATTTTAAAAAGTAAAAAAAGTATATTTAATATTAATGTAAATGTTTATGGATTATATATAAAATTTTTCTCATGTATTTATTTATTTCAAATGTGACAATAAATTATGATTTTTGTCACAAAAAATTATATGGAAGCATTTAAAACAATAACAAATATTTTTTAAATTGATCTTTGGTTACCATCGAATCGTGCCAATAACATATCCAAGTTTTATCTTGATTAATAAAAGGCACAAACTTCGCTTTATTTTTTAAATAATTTAGGGGAAAGGGATGGTAACACTAAAAAGGGGTTAAAATACTTAAAATTAAAAAAAAAATGGAACGAAAAAAAAACTAAAAGAACACCATCACTTTATTTTTATATAGATTATATTTTTCTATACTTCTTCACCTTACGACGACTGCAAAAAAGATATTTTAAAATTTGCGGTTGAATATTCAAGACTATGAATAGAAATTTTGTACAAAGAAAAGTGACGACGAAGACGTGCTAATTTTAAATTAAAAAAAAATAAATAAACAAGAAACTAAAACAATGAGAGCATATAAAATATTAAGCGTACAAAATTAAGTAGCTTAAATAGTACCCACGATTAGATACCCCAATGAGTGGAGTTAAAGGATGATTAAACATAATAAATTTTTATTGAAGTTAGATAATTAAAGAAATAACAGCTTCTATAAACAAATTATTATAAACGAGATTTTTTAATTTTCACTTCGAGACAAAAATATAATATTACGTTTAATTTAAAATTTAGAATGAGACCATTTAATCCATCATGATTAAAAATGTTGCTAACTTAGAATGAAATAAATCTTCATTACTGTATATTCTCGAGGTCAGTATCATTTACTCATTAGTGTGTGGAACTATCTAATTAGATCTTATTAGTCTTTCACAATGCTTCTAATATTTCTCTTGTTATAACCTACTTTGTGGAATTATAACATCCTATTTAATGTTTTCGCGGAATTATAATTTATTATACCTTCTAGTTTTGTCTGTTTGGTATTAAATTTAATCCTACAATATATTTAGTTAAAAAATCGGCCAAAAAGAATGGATTTAGTAAATTTTTACCGTTTAATTATGTGGTTTTGATATACTGTGGTCTGAATTGGACTATAAGACAATTTCGGCGCGCTTATTTGAGGCAGATGATGATTTTTCTACTATGCCATCGTCTGAGTTGTCAAAACTCCATCCACTATCTACCATACCACTGTCCTCCATTAAGGTTGTAAATTTTATAACTTATATGAAATTATTCTGTTATGGTTGGAGATTTGCATAATTTCAGGAGATCAATTTTTTAATGTTTGCAATATTTGTTTATGTACTTTATTAAATTGTCTTTTGTTAAATTTGTTATTACTTAGCAGTATCTAAAATTAGAGCAAGATTTTCTTGTGTGTATTCAAAATGTTGATTGATAACTAGCAACATCCAGTCCATATGTATCTTTACTTTTCTTTCTATTAGGTTGTATAGTAAATTTTTACCATCCAACCTAATAATACATATATATGTACTAAAAGTCATAAATTTCATTTCTTTTACGTTATAGAATTCACTGAATTATTTTTGTCCATTTTTTCTGAAATAGTTGTAAGCTTTGTTCCACGACACTGTCCATAGAATCAGCTTCTATGTAGTTGTGGCAACATTTTATAAACTCACTCCATGAACTACTTTCGAGGGTTCTTGTTAAGCTTTCTTTCAAATGTCTTCTTGGTTGTGCTCTACAATTATTTCCTTTTGGTCTTTCATGTCATTTTCACTGGTTTATCCAACCCAACCTAGCTTCATTTAATCTATTTCAACATTTGCAGTCACTTTCAGCTCTCAGACTTTTCATCAGTGTTGCTTACATTTTGCTATTATTACTTCCATTAAGTGTCCAGTTTTCAATTCTGTAGAGTAATCTTAGCAAGTATATCGATATGCAATTTTAACATATTTGGGTTGTAACAGAATTTTTCGTTGTCTTTTGGTATCATTTTTTATATTAACATTTTATCAAAATTAATTTGGGTCCTGATTTTACGTTTCCACAAATTGTGTTATACCATTACCTAACTGCGAATTATAAAGGCCACGTCATCTACAAAAATACATATTTCAGAAGTAATCTGTCTCATTAGTGCTGAATTTTTCAGATATCGATTGCTCTGGAATTATTTGAGTACACCAAGCCAGACTATACATATGTAATAAATACGCCTTAACATTTCTAGAATCCTGAATCTTGCATACTGGCATACATTTTTTTCTTTTTTCTACGGCACTGCATAAAATCTGCTTCTCTGCCATAGAATATAGTTTTGATCCAAAACCCAAAACCCGCGGCCTGCAAAATTAGGTTTACGATAATTTTGACTCATTTCTCGTGTGTTGATCAAAAACTTATTTAGTTAAATCGATGGATTGAATTGATTTAAGTCAGAATTTAATTTTTAAATGTTAAATAACTCTTTATTGAAGAAATAATTGTTTATAAACTAAAATTAATGACTTTATATTTCCATAATTATCAAACTTCGATTCAATTTTAATTAATACTTTATTTAACTAAATCCTTTTAGTTTTAATCATTGGCAACGATTATATACGGTTTTTAATTCAGCGTTCTTGACTCGCCTAACACGACATCATGGTGGTATTCAAGTTAACATAGTGTACACAAAAAATTAAGTCACGCGAATCAACGTGGTGCAGCTGCGCAAATCTTATAAACCATGTATAAATCGACTGTGATTTTAAGTATAGAATCGCTAGTGGTATTATTTATGCTACTTACTTTCAAACAAGCCATATACAGGATGAGTCATATAAATGTGTAAGAAGATGTATTAGTAGTAATGTAATAACAAATATAGTGATACAAAGTAGTAATTACAAATCTAAATTGGTTTCTTAATAACTATCAAAAGGTTTCAAAAGTACAAGCTTTACACTTTAAGGTGCAAATTTGTGAAAAACCGGCTTTGAGTTTTCTCACTTTGCACTCTTCTGCAATATTAAAACTTATATAAATCAAACAAATTTGGTTATTTTGAAATCAAACGAAAATTGAATACAATCTTTTTATACATATTGATTCATCCTGTATTTAAAATATGAATACATCCATTTAAAAAAACGATTAATCTAAAAATCTTGATTGTGAATCACTATTGTATTTAAAACTCCCATTTATTACTGGGAGAACTGTGCATGTATTGGTGCTACAAAAAAAATCGTGTCTACAGACTTGGAACATAAAAACACCAATCATAACAAAACAAAGATGGAATTTTACTATTAAATTAAATAATCTTTAACAATAATAGCTTTAACACATAGCACAATAGTTAAAGTGTTTTTGAAACGAATAGTTATGATGTGGTCTATGATATGTTACAAATCTATATGCATTTCTTATACACGTAAACGTATAAATTAATATGCTATTATAACTTAAGAATTGAAATGATATCTGATGATGTATCTGTACCTATTTTCTACAGAAATGATACATAAATGTGAGTAACTATATTATTATTAACAATATTGTAACAAATTTTTCCAATTTCTTAAACTGCCAAAAAATTAATAACGCAGTAATTTTTAACTTTCGATTTTTTATGTTCACCAAGTTATATGTATGTTTCGTTTCGCGTGCGATCGTAGATTATTAAGTAACCTTAATCTCTCATGTCATGTAACATTTTAAATTAATTCTCTTTTTGGCAGCAAATTAAAAAAATATTAAAACAAAACTTTAAGTGGACGTAAAACTGTTACTAAAATCGTTTTCTTGTAAATTATCATTATTTTTATTTTCGAAAAAAAAATTATATTAATAAAATTAAAGGATTTTAACACGATTTTTTTGTATATTCATTTACTTCACACTTTTCGTATATTTAGTTAATAGTTCTTTAGGATTTATGAAGTTAACTCTCGTAAAGGTGTTGCTTAAGGCGTACAATAACGTTCTTCTTTCGCTTTAATTTACGTCTCGTTCACCCTTAAAGAGTGAAAACAAATAAAAAAGATTTCAGAATATGTTGTGACCCCACGCAATTCCCACCGAAACAACAACCCACTCTCGAACGCTTAGCAGCACGCTTCTCATTGCGCCCATTCATTTTTATCTCATTATTCTTGAGCGGTTCGTGTGAGTTGAACGCATCGTTCTCTATCCTCGGTACTCTTAACAGAGAAGGCGAAGGAGTGTATCTATAAAGGGCATCAAACTCGGGAGATTCATCTTGACGAGGGCAGGACGAGCCACGACATCGTCGCGTAGGCCACGAAACAATGCCTCATGCAAAAAAAAAAGATAAAGACCCAATGTGCAATTATTGTCTTTAACAGTAAAAATAAGAATTTTAATTAAATGTTACAAAAAGATACATTTTATTTAAATAAGGAAGAGATAATGTGTATCATGTTGATTCAGGATAAAAAATGCACCTTTTTCTGTGTTAGGATGTGATGGCATATGCGGGGGGAGTACGACGCAAACCAAACAGTAGACGGGTGTGTTGCGCAATTGCAGCGGCCCCTGATGCGTGGACGCAAAGAATGTTTGTTATTTTCAAGAATATGACACGAGACGTCTTCAGGTTCCCGCCAAGAGAGACTCGGAACCTTCTGTTGTTGTGAGGCCACATGTGTGTATAGTAGTTACCACCTGGGTTTAGAGGGGGGTCATCATTATATTACAGATCCGTACTTCAAAAAAGTATCTGGAAAAATATACAATTTTTTCAAAGAATTTTTTCAAAATTAAATGCCTAAAAAAGTGCACAACAATAACGGGAACTAATTGATGTTTATGTATCAAATCATATATTTTAAGATCAATCATAGGTCATCAATCATCATTTCATCATATACTCCACTCTTTTCTCTTCTATGGAAAGATTGGTACAAAATTAATCATTAATTCCTGATATCACCTAAACTATTCATCTTGAAAACTAGACCATCAAAACAACTAGAAGGCATTGACTTAGGCAGCATTTGAGAAACTTGGTTTCATCCTCAAATACCCACCTATGCCTATTAACCTGAAATGGAAAGTGTTCGAATCCTGCGTACTACCAGTAACTACATATGACTTAGAAACCACCGTGCTCACGAAAAAAAGTACCAATAAGCTATGGACAAACCAAAGAGTTATGGTGACGGCAATGCTGGGAATCAGTCTCAAAGACAGAGTACACAATGAGGAAATCCGAAAGCGCACTGAGATCACAGACGTAATGGCAAGGATAGCTGGCATGAAGAAATTTTGAAGGAAAACCATAGAAGAAGCTTACATCAAGAAGTGGATAAAGACGGGCTGAGAAAAAAACTGTCATTAAACATAAAACTAAAGAACGAGGTTGCAGTTTGAAACTAGAACAACTTCTACTGAAATGTGAACACAACAAACTGAAAGAATTTTTTTATAGTGTATATTATTATATTGTACTACTATTATTTAATTATAAATATGTAGAGCTGGTCCGAAATTGATATTTTTTTTCTATTGTGGCGAGAAAAATTGTTACTACTATTTGAAGAGATGAAACCCGATGAAGTCTATAAATACAACTCCAAATTATACGCTCTATTTAGGTTGTGAAAACATCCGTCGTCAAGATTTCGATGCCAGAATAAATAAATTCCTCCTAAATACGTTAATTACATATACTTCGTAATACTAGGTCAAAAAGAGTTAGTGTGATTGTGGCTCGCTCATAAAAGGTTGGATTATGGAAAGATGTTAGAATTTTCGTAATAATTAATTTTTATTTTTAAGATGCTGTTGTTCGATAATTATTGAAATTATTTCGAAATAAAGTAATGAAATAACATCAGACTGGGGGAAACTAACTTCCAATTTTTTTGTACTTGATTTGAAATCTCTTCAAAAAATTAACTTTTGGTTATAAATGAATGCACAAAGATTATCAAAGTTAAGTTTTGCGAGTTCTCAGACTTTATGAAGTTTGTACTGAAATTTTTCCAGGACGTCTGATCATTGTTCGAATATCTCAAAGAGAGAATTCATTGGATATGTGTTTTGTAGCTATGCTTTTGAATCGATACAGTAATGTTTATAGGTAAATACCTTTTTTTAAGTTTTATGTCAACATGATACTAACCATGTTGAAATTAGGTGAAATGGTCTCCTTATCATACAGTTGTGTTAAACCATTAATGGAAATACTTCTTTGCCTCAGCTTGTTATACGAAGAAGTAGATGCAGGTTTTAAGCATCATCGCCACATGATGTTCCTGGATTCTGTTTGGACTATTTGTATTATCGCCTTATTGGTCGGTTTTGTTGGATGTAAATTTTCTTGGACGTTCATTATCAGTTCTACTAGGGAGTAATACCATGTCTTTCACGAGATGCTAGTTATGGATCGGCCTTGCCACGATGGATTATAAACCATTCTCATTAGCCTTCTATTAGATACTAAGCGGTGTTCCCCACAGAGGATAAGATAAAAGAATAATAGAAATATTGCAGGTTATTTGGGTTGTTACATCCTAAGACAAATCCATCCTATCATACTGTTATTATGATTGTATGGAAAACATACAACACATTAAGAAAATTAAATAAAATTATCCTTTAAAATGCAAATTTTCAAAGTGTGACAACAAAACTGCAGTGTATCTATAGGATTTCAGTTTGTAAATATAAATAATTATATTTACAATAATTTCATAAATTTCTTCAGCCTCTCTAGTCTTCCCAAATAATAATAGCTACTCCTGACATGTATTTTTGTCGTTTGATTATTAATGCTTTGCGATTGCTGCCTACTCCTCTATATAACATCTCATGTTTCTTCAGGGTTGCAGTAAATAGTACTTTACATACTTGCATGACAGTGTATAGACTAAAAATACTTTAACGGAGGAAGTTTATCTTTTAAAGCAATGCGTTTCATACTTTGCTCACTGCCACATATCATCCAATATCGTCCTATAGTTTCCTGCTTATTCGTTCCGACACAGCTGAAACAAAGGTAACACAGATTAAGCCAAAAAGTTGACTATTTACCACAACTGGTTTCTATTGCTGCTTCATTCCCTATCACATAATCTCCTTATAGTGTTGCCAAATACCAGATACTATACAGGCTGATTCTCAACTTATACCCATAAACTTGAGGATTTATTCCTCATGACAAATGATGACTAATAGATGAAAAAATTGTAGTTAAAGTTTTTTAGTTTCTTAGATATCCGATATAATCGGCGACATCTAGATCATGTGTTTCTTGGAGGATGGATAGGTCGAGATGGTCCAATACCCTGGCCATCGTGATCTTAAAAAGCATAGTGTAAGTTAATACTGAGCAAATATTGCAAAATCAGGTACATGCTGCTCCACAGACAATCCGCCAACACCCTGGTTTAGGTTGCGCTAGCTGGAGATCGTGAATTCGGGGAACCCAATTGATAGAAAATATGGGAAATAACTTCGAACACTTGCTGTGATGTTATTTTAAAATGTTCTATGTATTCTTAATTTGTAAGTAAATATCATGGATATCTATGAAACAGAAAATTTTTTACTACAAATTTTTTCTCCCATTAGTCATTATTCGTCATGAGGAGTAAATCCCCAAGTTTATGCGTATAGGTTGAGAATCACCCTCCTGTATAGATATCTTTGGTCGTGGTAATTGTTTCATGAAACTTGACAAAATTCAAGAATGTTATATAGATAGCAACTCGGCCTCCATACTTTTTTGCTTAATTTAATGTATTAGAAGCTAAACAGTAAATTAGTATTAGAAAAGAAATACATTCATTTTTGTACATGTATATTTTTATTTTTATACGACTTAAAAATATTTAAGATAACGTACCTACCATTTGATAACACTATTAAATAAACGGAAGTATAAATTTATTGATAAGATTATATAATGTATTTGTGTATATTTCGATTTTACTTTCTTTGCGATATTTCTATCTTGAGATTTGAATGAAATACGGTCCTGTTCTAAAAGTTGTAGCTTTGGAGAAGGGATAGAAGTCGATCTGACGCTGGGGTTGTATATGTGCAGAGAGGTCTACATCAGGGTCTACAGCCAGTCGTGTCGGAAGCAATTGGCCGAGATAGACCAACGGCAAGTTCGTGAGTCTTCGCAGCAAACGGTCGCACGTTCAGTTCGGAAAAACGGCGGCGACGTTGTGGCGTGTAGTGTGGAGAAGCTTCCTTTTCAGGGGCCGCAGCGATTTCGGACATGTCCTTTTACTACGATCGTGCCCAGGACTACGGTGCCGACTACGAAACGTAAGTGAACCATGACGACATCGACAGTATTCGTTTCGAATTCTTGTGTTTAAGAAGAAGGAGAATCCTAACCTCTTCCAGAGCGCGCGCGCTTTTGACAACAATCGGTCTGGTCCGGACCCGTTTCCTTCGCATTCTTCGGTCGCGTACCCACCTTCGGGGGGCCTTGACTAGAAACGGCCTCGTCGACGAGATAAATCTAACTAAACGCAGATGTTTTTATTCTGAACATCCAAGAAATAACATTTTTTTTTAAATACGTAGATGATTCTCCCGAAGAGATTTTCGTTGCCGAGATGCAGCAATCTAGTTTATCTAATTTTAAACCAACCCAAACGTCGATGTTGTTTGAGTCTATATATATATTTATATACATGTGCATTTGCACAACTGCAAATTGTGATTGATCAAAATATGATAGCTCATTTTTTCCATCAATTCCAAATAAAATTGTTATCTTATCTCTTAACTTATGTATTTAGAACTTTTGAATAAATGTTTTGTCTAATAATTTTTCGGTTCTGACAAATTGAAGATTGTAAGTATAAAATTGTATGTTTGAAAAAATCATTTGAAATACAATCTAAATGAAGATGCTCACATTAGTTTCTTCAGAAATAGATATGTTATCTTTTGTTTATATTATACTGGACTTCTTGAGTTGCGTTTGCCGTTTCAAATAAATGTCGCATCTGCATTAATTAGTGTTTTACGAGAGGAAATGAATTTCCTTTTGAAAAAAAAATTTAACCTTATTTAGTTTGATAACAGAATTATAATTCTAAGTCAAGGTTATGAATAGCTCAAAAACAAAATTCCCATAAGTGAGAGGGTTGTTTATTCTAGTTTGTTTTCCTTAACTCAATCAGTAAAAAAAGGATCCTGCTTTAAAATATTTATAGATAAACTTTTTAGGCACGTTTTTTTTTAACCAAAAAACAATTTCCTGGACACATGTTAAAAAATATTTGTCCTTATAAAATTTCTTAGAATTATTTTTTATCGACTGTATAAATGTTTTAATCGTATATTGTGATAGTCGATACGTGAATGTTTGAACAGATCATTACGGAAATCGCGTACCTGAACGATCTAAAAGGTTTCCCAGAAATCACCCAAACAGGTATAAAGCCAAAAAAAGGAGACTTTGGTAAATTGTACACAAATGGGGTGTCTGGATTATACAACACCTCCAAAACGTCTTCTGATAACCCCAGTAAAAGTTCTAACCCAATGACTTTGCATATAACTTGGGAAAATAAGATTGATACGTAAACACCATATGGTTGCAGTTCTTGTATCGAGCTTTACGCTTCGTTGAGGAAAACGCAACAGGCCGTACTTTAGATTAACATCTGTTTTATGGCAAATTATCGTGAGACTTTTTATAGGTAATTATTTAGCACTTAATATGTTTTATTAATTTTCCAAAGAAACTTGTATAATTATTACCGTAACAAATGTTTGCCTAAAATCATAAAAATAACTGGGGTTTTTACATTTTACATTATTCTTATTCATATTTCTTCCGGTTTCAATAGATACAATAGCCCTCTAAAAACTTCCTTATGTGACGCAATCCAGAATTTCGGAAATACCATGAAACCCGCGAAATCAGCTGTAGGGTCGTTTCTTTGACCTCGCCCAAAATCGCCGACCGTCCGTGCCATTGAAATGATCCGCAAGGGGGAAAGAAGTGCAAGATGTTTCGTAATACGCACATATGGAAGGAGAAATTGGCCGGCCAAGAAGGAAAGAAAGGTGGTGAAGAAGTCGCGTGCTCGGGGTTCCCTTCTTTACGTTGACGGAGTCCCGATCCAGACGGTCGGGACATCTGCTCCCTGGGGACCTTAGCCTACCGTCGTCTCTCCCGTAACGGGCCCATTGTTCACCTTCGGGATTTATTAGCGTCCCAAGACGTTCGACGACTTTTACGGGAGGGAGAAGAAAAAAAAAAGGCCCGGTGTTACGAATATTATTTATCCCCTTTATTTTTCTTGTATAAAATCTTCAATAATACCTTCTTTTTTGATAGGTTTATGTCGATCATAAATTTGATTTTGTAAAATTATAATAATTTTTACACAATTTTACTTTTTTCCTTAATTGTATTTTAACTTAAACATTTTAAATCGAGTCACAATCGTCATATAGTAGCAAGTATTATTATTTTTTATAGAAGTAATTCATGCAATTCAAGTTGGAATAAAAATGATACCATGCATTGTATTAATAAGGGAGGTTCATTATCGATCGGGTTCAACCATCTGTCGTTTGGGGTGAACTCCCCGACACCTGCCTTCTGGTGATAGGGCATCGCATGCGACCCCTCACGGTATACACAATGCAAGTAGCCGAACATGTACGCGATGCTCGCCCTGTATAGTATAATCAATTGCACTCAGTGAGTCGTAGGAAATAATTCACTTTTCTTTTTCTTTTCCCTTCATTATTCCCAGGGTATGAAAGATATAAATCAATATGATATTTATTGTTTGATATATATCAAGGATAATTATAATTTATAAAAGGAAAAATTTGCAAAGTTTTTTTTTTATTGTATGATGCAATTAAAGTGTTTTATAAAGTACTTCAGCTGCTACAAGTTCGAATCATATTACTCTGTCAATACTTTTTATTTATATTTTTGAAATCGTGTGTTAATCCTAATTTATGCTTTAGCCATATTTTTTCTTGCCTTAGAAAAATTCTTTGGTCTGTTTTGACCTTGTAGAAGATCTATTTTGAAAGCAAATCCAAATGACCAAAAAAATATTGAGTTAGTAGTGTTTAGTTGACGTATTATTTTCTTTAATATTAAACGAGTTTATTTTTTTTAAACTCAGGTTTAATTTGGTCTTGAACGACTCTAATTGGTCATTAACACCTAACTCCATCTCGTTAAATATTGATATTGATTTTACATTTTGAAATAGAGATGTTAAAAATTTCCAACAATCTTCAACAGATTTTTACATCAATTTTTTTTAATCTAAATTTATCTAGTTCTAAATTGGAATTATCAAGATGAGACTGGATAGCCCCTAGGTTTCCATGTTGGTGTAGCTTTTCTCTATTATTAAATATATTATTTTATAAATTATATTATATATTATTAGATTTGTTCCGTAATATGTTTTGGAAATGTTCTATAAATTCTTTGTTGCTATAAATGCTGCCTAACCGTGTACTGGCCCTTGATACTAAGCAGTTTATAACTAAAATGAAGCTGTACCTTCGGTTTAAAAGTTAAACGAATATCTGGTAAACAATTTCGATAACTTGGAGGTCTTGCTATTGGCATCTCCATAGTTTAGAATTGTGTGTTATGTGTCGTAACATATTGCAGCTGTTATTTTTTGCTTGCTGTAGTCAGCCCCTGATAATTGTATTGTATTTTTATGACGCTTTCCTTTTTTAGCCTAGATTTCCGTACAAATTGTTGCTGTACTTTTACTTTATGCTGTATGTACCATGTAACGAGTGTAACAGAAGTTTTTCTTAATAACACAATAAAGAAATATATCTAAGTGTCACAACTCTAAAGATGGAAGACATGCATCCGAACAAGTTACTTTCTTTCATGGAGTTTCTTCCCGTTCATCTTTCTATAAATATATCGACGAAGAAGAAATTAGGTTTTATTTAAAATTTTCTTTTAGCTTCTTCATGAATTTTTCCCGTGGCCAGAATGGTTGCAATGTCAATAAACGTTGCGATTGCACAGTTTAGGAATATCACTGGTGCATAATAAGTAGAGTACCTTGCTCGCTCCGAGGTCCTTCCGCCTTTATTTCTTAAATCAGAGCACGCATTTTCAGCTTTATTCTAAAATTCCTGTATAACAGGTAGGATTTCAAGAGTTCTGTATATGTATTGGTGTGGTAGCTAAGGTCTTCCGTAATTCTGCATATTTGGTCAATTTTTAGTCAAGTTTCAACTTCATAGATAAGATTTCTTGAGATTAGGTAAAATCAAATTTTCAAATCAAATCTTAATCACAGTTTCCATAGAAGTTCATATTGATTTTATTTTGCATATATTCTTCTTTTGGAGAGATGGTCCAACATAATTGTATCTTCTTCATTTATTTATTTTTTCTGCAATATTTCTAACCTAACTTCCTAAGCCTTCATTTATATTAGGGTAGGTTAAGTACTTATAATAGGACTATTAAGATGTTTGGTGCCTTTCCAGAGAGTCTAATCTGAGGACTGTAATTCCCCGCCCAAATTTTATTTTAGTTTATAAGTCTTAGAAAAATGTTTCTTTAGGTAGTACATAATCTATCTTTTTGGAAAGCTAACGATTAATGGTTTACATCATTTGGTATAATTAAAAGAAATAAGTTAAATTGAGATTAAGGAATTAAATTAATTTAAACCTTAAATAAATCTTTAATTAATTATCGATGATATAAACATTTTTCTTTTTTAAAATGGAAGAGATCATGAATTACGTGGGATGTTAAAAAATGTCTTGTACCATACTTTAGTGGCATTCTCTATCTATAATAAACACACCTCAGTAGAATATAACTAAAAGATAAGAATGCGGTTTCTTTTATTATCCATATAAGGTTTTACATACTCACATTCTTGGTATTAAAAAACAATTTGATGGTAGCCGAATTGTTATTTTTCGGAATTCCCCGGATTCTACAATTACAATAAAGGAAAGGTGTTGATGTTCGACGAACTGTAACGAGAAATGTAAAATTATTTTAATCGTTCGGGCACCTGCCACCTCTCCGGATAAATTAAGCCTCTCCGGCGCTTATTATCTAATTTGATATCGCCGCATGGTCGTTTAACGACTAAAGACGGCTGCCGCCGCTTGTTTTCCCAAGTCGTGAACATACATAAGAAGTAGGTCATTCAATAAATGTATATTTAACTATGTGGAGCCGCTAAACCAGCCGTTTTCATCTCGGGCATTGTATGATTTCAAGCGAATCTTAAGGGGTTGACGAACTTAACTTAATCAAGAGTCATCATACT